CCTTGATTTCATGGGAAGATTGATGGATTTCTCTGCTAGAAGAGGCCTGCGCTGTGGAGCCAGATCTTCTCCAGGCAGTTCCTTGATGTCCTTTGCACTTTTGGGAGACGATCTTCTTACTAGCAAATGATCCATTTCCGTTTCTTTCCCTCCCCTGCTCTAGGTTACTTTCTGAGCCTTCCTTTTTGTAAAGAAGGTGCTGCAGCCTGCCAGGTCGTGGGCTGTGCCCAGGGCAAGGATTCTCTCTCCTCCTTCGTTTCTAACTCGTACGCCTCTACCTTCATGTACCCTTTCCACTCCCTTCCTTTCCTTGCCGATGTGTCCATTGAGATCACCGCCTATGGTGAGATAGTCTCTCTCCGGAACCGATCGGATGGCCTCGTCAAGGCTCAGATCGAAGTCATCCTTCGTAGACGGGATAGCCGAATTCTGGATCTGTGATCTACATGATCTGTGATCTATGCGATCCGTCTACGAAGAATGAGTTCGATCTGAGCCTTGACGACCAGCTATTACGAAAAAGGTAGTAGCTGATAAAGGCTGGCATGAGATATCAAACTGAAAGGCTCTGGTTCCTATTCCTTCATTATGACAATATAGCAGTAGCACTTTGACGTTTTTAAAATAGGACGAAACGTTAGAGTACGTTGACAAAAAAAGATTTATAAGTGTAGTTATGAGAAACTTTCGAAGTTAATCCCACATAAAAAGACCAATATTGGTTCCTGTCTTACTATCAGACTACAAAGTTTGCAACTCGATGTGTTCTATTTTTTTCGAAATTCCGTTACTATAAAGTGTCAGTAGTCCTGTGCGTTTTCCTCCTCGGTTCATGATCTTGGCGGCGTAAGTATAATACTTGAGAACGTCACAGTTTGCAATTACATATTTTTGAGTACACTAGACACTCGCACATGTATTTGAAGCAATAGCAATGTGCAAAAGCTGAACAAAAATAACACTCTCGGACCTTTCATCGATATGCGTATTTCACTATCTAGAATCTATGACTCATTTCCTGGGACATTTTTAGATGAACTGAAAATTTACCGAAAGTCGGTAGCAATCCCTTGCTGTCTACTACGAGTTTGAGTGTTAGAAACGATGTGTTTTGACCTTTGGCGAACGCGCGTTGACTGTGTGGATCCAGGTACCTGAATTGATATCATAATGTATCGCACTATATTTCACCAATAAGACTCCGCACACCAACATTTGCATCACAACNGAGGACGTATCCGATTGAGTCATAAATTTCCAATCTGAGCTGTACACCAAGAATCTGGTCATGTGTTTTGATGGGTTGAGCTCATGTATGTTTCGCTCGCTTTGAGAGCGCTCCCCATCGCGGCTAGTTCTGCATCATTTCATTTGTCGACCATTTCCGCACATTTGCTAATGTTTTTCGGCGTCTGGTCGTTACGAAACTGAATAAGGAAGTTTTGCATGTGACACCGCCCAGCTTCTGTGCATGTCCCGCATCTTGTGGGAGGAGCTGCACTGAGCTCACACGTGCTCTGTGTTCTTGCCCTATGCACATCTCCATCCCAAACTTGACCCGACATCTCCAAGTGCTTTTTTCTTTGATATCGAATGTGAAAAGGGCAATCAGATAATTGACACATAAACAGGCAACAACGCGTTATGCATAGTTAGAATTATATTATATGCCAGTCGGGTCGCCGGGCTTCCTTTCTTCTCAGGATAGAGCTCTTGTGGAACAAATAAAACTTCTCGAAACACGAAACCCAACAGAGGACTGGCAGGATATTCAGGTGGTATTCAAGTAGCTGTGCCGATCCTTACGCCCATAACTAGAATTCCCAATCTGCTTCAGTTCATCTTGAAAAAAAATGTTCCATTGAAGGTTCAACTGGGCGGAATCAAATATCTTTGCTTACCACACTCCCCTTGTGGGCGTAATCCAGTTCTGTCACCTACCATCACTGTTTCCATCTTGCCTCCTGTACTCGTACCGAATTTTAGCGCTCTAGGTCCGATTTGACATTTTTGCGCAAGCCCAGCCCTGTAGACGAGTCCGATCTCGCCACCCACGACAAATGTTCCCATCCTGTCACCTGTACTCCTACCGAATTTGAACTTTCTAGGTTCTCAGCAAACGGAGTTAAGAATTTCTGGTCGGACACACACACCAACATACACACACAAACACACAGAGACAAACCAGGAAACACACTTAGCGCGTTATATATAGTAAGCTTTTATCGATTCCTGACATTCAAAGGCACACTTCTCGATAAAAATGGTTTCTGAGTTATCCCCTCAGGAATACACAGCTGCCCCAAGGTTAAAAGGAAGGACGCTGTCGATTCGAAAACTTAACGGCTAAGGCATAGTGGGAGCCCCATTACCGGATCGCCCGGACTTCGCGCCCCTCGATCAACATCTTGTCAGACGAGGGTCGAGGTGATACAGATTGCAATATTCGCTCCGGAATCCACACACAATCAGCTGATAGCCGAGTAACAGGGCGATTTTTTTCTGCTATTCCTTCATCCTCTGTTATTCTTTTTGCTGCTGCGATCCCTTATTCAATTTTCGATCACGAGGGACTGAAAAAGGTAGGCAGTTTTTGGTGTTACTAGGGTTTTTTGTTAACTTGTGCTTATAGGTGAATGAAATTCAAGGGACATCTTGGCTTACTGTAGACAGCTATTCGCACCGGGACCCACAGTACGCACGTGCACGACACACAATGTACAGCTAGTCTAAACACCCCTTATACCTCATCTTCCTGGCCTCGTTCTTGTCAACATGATTTTTAAAAGATTGTTTCGAGCTTTTTTTCACTTGGAAATGCCGACTCACGCAGTTTCTTCGCCTTCACCGCACTATTTTCCATTTCATCCCCCATTTTTCGTCATAACCTGGATTACCCAAAATTAATGTGAGCTGTGCCTTCAAATCCCTTCGTTCTATGCTTCATGTAGCTCCTTTCAGCTTCGTTTATCTTGCATCAAGAAGAAGAATCACTAACGATGTAGTAGACGCAACGTATCGAAGATCAATTGGTCTCGAAACATCATGCGATTCTAATAATAGGTCGTGGACCAGCATTATTACAAATGGGCGCCATCAAACGAACACGAGGACAGTCATCGGACCGATATCCAGATTCTTTGATGGAAATCTTGAGCGAATCAAATGATGCGTTGTAGCCGGCTTAAAGACGTCCGCTAGACTACACGTATCCAGGTAAGATTGCAGCCACTAGTGCGCATAGGTAATTATTTGTTATTTTTTGATGTTTTATTATAAAGTTTATAATCGTAACATCATTCAAGCGATAAAATGTAGATAGAGCGAGCAGGTGGTGATGTTCAAAACTGTAATAAACATCCCGCCCCCCAGTCTACCACCTCGACATGGTGGGAGGGTGGCGTTTAGGCGGTAGCAAGGGTCCGATTTTCAAGTAATTTTGTTAATTTCGCTTTATATAACAATAATATTTCCGTTTTATTCCTAATTTTAGTATTTTATCGTATGCTCTGATGCAAAGTTTCGGTGTTCTTCAGTCATGCGGGAGTTTAGCTTAAGCGAATTGCCGCTTCGAGTTCGAAGCTCTGTTAAGGCCGTCCGCTCGAGGTGGTTGTTGAATTCGTTCTCCACGCGTTAAATTAGGCAACGCAAGGCCCGGTACGACACGACTAAGTCATCGCATTCTGGATTAAGGGCCAGGAATACCGCTCGGGAAGTATCCGCCTACCAAAGGAGAGACGTTTTGTCGATCTGCCACGTGCTTTCGTCTGCTTTCGCCACATTTCTTTTGGTCCAAAATTCCTTGCCCAAGGCTTCTACTGCTCGACGGGGTATTGCGTTGGAGCCTCCATTATTTCTAACTGCTATTTATATAAGCATCTATATACATCTAATAGTTCAACGGCACGTCTGCAAGTCTGAACGGCTAAGAGTAGGCTACCTCAGCTCCCTTTGATCCAGAGTGGCTATAGCCATGATGGTGAAGACTCAACACTGACCCTGGCAAGGCAGTGTTGAGGCTCCAAAAGCAAGCTTGCTAAAACAGCAATGAAACAGCCTCAGTACCTCGCACACTGGGCCTAGCGGTCTTCGGCGTCGGACGGTACGGCGATCAGTGAGACGCGAAGAAATCTCGGGTTGCCGAAGACGCCTTGGATTTTGGACCACGACAGCACTCTCTCCACAAGACACGGAAACTGTTTCCTACTTTATAGCCACAACGCGAGAACAGTCTTTTCCAATGTCCCTCTCCATGAGCTCCTCGATGCGGCTAATCAGATTAAGTATCATGTGAATGCGCTGCAAGAAACCAAGAACAGGAGGTCCGATGTACGACGAATGAATGAAGGCACTCTCATAATTCGTGATGAAAAGCTTCCATCGCGGAACGTCGACGGCGTTAATTTCGTCGTGCACCCATCTGTCGTAGGTTTCGTCGATTTTCACGAGGTCTTTGCCATTCTACGCCTACGACATACGCACCTGAAGGTGTTCTCTATCGTCAACACCTGCTCTCCAAATTCTACAGCTGACAAAGTAGAGCTCGATGCGTTTCACGACCAACTTAAGAAAATCATCCGCAACGAAAAGTCTTTCTACAAATTCGTTGTTGGAAATTTCAACGCTAGGCTTGGCGAAGCGTAAGTGGAGGAGTTCAGGACTGGAAAGTTTGGAATGGGTAACAGTAAAAGAACGGAAATCATCTGGCTGGACTTCTGTCCACGGCCTGATTCTTCCATGGAAATTCTTTCTTTAAGAAGAATGAACATCGTCTTTGACATGAGAATCTTCAAGCGGTACAACTCATGCCAAACTGGACCACGTATTAACAAACTGAAAGGTTGTTGTGGTATCATCTTTCTGCTGTGGTTCTGATCATCGACTCCTTCGCGCTAAGGTCGGATTCATTCACAAGGTGGAAAAGATCTCTCTGCATCGCGCAAAAAGCTCGAAACATGTTGTATACGACGAAAATGTTCTGAGTGACGCCTTGACCCGATATGACTGGCAGGCCTTGGATGATCCGACCGAAGACTATGGCGTGCTGATTGGGGGTCTCCTTTCCTGCGCTGAAAATGTCACGCTTTCTCGAGTGGGTCTTTCCGCTCGCATTCCAGTTGCGACGAGGGATCTTCTCAGGACAAGGAGAAACTTGAGGCTTGATCAGAAGGCCGCACATCTTGAAAGGCTGCGAGCGAATATCAGCTGCGGAAAGGCAGTGCGGCGAGACCTTCAGCTACACGAGGAGAAGAGACCAATGGAGACAGCCTTAAGCAAAAAGGCCATCGGGATCTTCGAGCCCACAGTATTCCGCTTTCGTGTTTGAAGAAGGAGGACGGAACATCTACAACATCGAGATTTTAGATGGAAGAAATTATACGGTAAATCGGTACGGGTTGGTGGTTCTACACCAATCCGTACCGATCTAAGACACACGCGCGAAAACCAAAAATCCCCAGTGGCAGAACAGCACCCCCGATCCTCTTTTCGGAAGTGAGAGATGCGATTGCGAGCATGAAAAGAGACACAACTACAGGCCCCGACAAAATCTCAGCCGATATACTCCGTTTAGGTGGCCACGAACTTCATGCGCTTCCCGCAGTACACATAACATCCTACCTCGAGGGAGAGAAGATTCCCAACCAATGGAGGAATTCGCTGATGGTCATTCTTCACGAGAAGGGAGACCAGGATGGTCCTCGCGATTACCGCCCAGGAAGCTTGTTACGTGCGCTTTACAAGCTGTCCACGAAGATCATTCTAACCCGCATATCGCGAACGTTGGATGCGTGGGTTATGAAGTCGCTGGACTGGAACAAGAAGGGCATTCGTGTAGATGGACGGTTCCTCTCGAATCTACGCTTTGCAGACAACATCGTTCTCTCTTCAAGCAGCATTGCGGAAGCTGAGACTATGGTTGCTGAGCTCGATAGAACAGGAAAGAAGGTAGGGCTGCGGATGAACCAAACAGAGATACATTTCATGAAAAATGCTTGAGCTGATGAAGATCAAACTGAGACCGATGGTACATCTATCACGAAGACCTCGTCCTACGTCTATCTATGGCGTTCCATGAATACGGACAACGACGTGAGGGAAGTACTGGTGAGACGGCAGAAAGCAGCGTGGGCAGCCTTCGGGCTTTTGAAAGAGGTCACCAACCATCTGGCTGACACGGAACTCCGCGCTAATCTGTTCGATTCCACAGTTCTTCCTGCACTCTGTTATAGGTCAGAGACTTGGGTGACCAGTACATCCACGTCAAGGTCAAGGCTTTGAGCACAAGTCACGGAGCGCTCGAGCAATGTCTTTTGAGGCTCAACCGGCTCACTCAATATCGAGCCGGACTCCACAGCTCCGATATGCGCGGAATATCTCGACTCCGCGATCCGGTGAGATATTTACATGAGGAACGCGAAATTCTCGGCTCCCGTAGGATCTTCACGATCTGAGGGTAGGCCTGCTACGAGATGGGGGATGTGCTTGTCGATCACGAGCAACAACTGCGAAAGCAGCTGAATGACTCCTCACTTTGCCATCTTCGTTGATTCCTGAGTCTACCGTGGATGGCGATCGCCAGAAGCGAATGGTTTGTTGGTGGTGCTCGCACGAGGGTGAAAACGAGCCGTAAAGTATAAGTGTAATAACCATAGATGATTCGAGTGAACCAATTTTATAAGCTAGCTGTGTAAATGGTGCAGAATTCCATCAATGAATTCAAAATGAAGTGAATTGATGAGTACTGGCATTATAAGACGAAAACCTCGATCACTAAGCCTTTCAGATCTCATTATTGCAATCTACTTGTTATCGCTTCAGCTGATTATGGATCCACTCTGCCGAGCCTTATGAACATTGTCTACTTTTGTTGAATAGAGCAGTATTGAACAGTACTCTCTGGGTAAAACACACGCATAGCTTATTGGCTTAGTGGGTGAACAGAAGGCGATGGATACACCAAGTAATTCTCATTCATGGAATGTGTTGTTTATGCTATTCTTAAGAGTGGAGGTGGTCTAGTGGCAATTGGTGCCCTACCTCACACGCATGGTCTCGGGTTCGATTGTCAGTTCGATATCCGAATGGGTAAACCAAGCCTACCATTCCTCAGGGGTCGGTCATCTGCACCAGATTTATCTAGGAGGTTGAAAGCACTGACCCATATATCAGCCGGCCACCACAATTCATTGCATACGCATTCAATACGCCACAGCGATTCTATTATAAATGGAAGTCGAATGCGAGGGCGCATACCTCGGAAAGGATTGATTAACGTTCCCGACTTTAGGACTTTTACTTTATGCCGTTATTTACCATCTTAATAAGTTTGGTATAATTCCGAATTCCCTTAATGGTTTTTGTAAAGGTAGATCTATTGAGACTTCATTACTAGATTGTCTCAGTGACTGGACAGCGTCTTTGAATCGGGGGAAAGCGTAGATATGGTTTATTTTGATTTCCAAAAATTATTCGATAAGGTTATCCATGAGTTATTGATACAAAAGCTGGAACATCTTGGTTTCCATCCTCTGGTAAGGAATTGGATAAAAGATTTTCTGTATAACAGAACATTTTGAGTTTCAGTGAAGGATTCTTTCTCATCAGTTCGTACCGTGAAATCAGGAGTACCCCAAGGTGGGGTTCTTCAACCGGTTTTGTTTAACATATTTAAATCAGACTTTCCTTGGTTTTGCTTAAGGATCTTGACGTTGTTTGCAACCTTTATGCAGATGACATAAAAATCTATAAAGAGTCTGTCTTCTTAGTTGAGTCTGAAATAAATCTCCAAAAAGCAATTGATAAAGTGGCTGAATGGTCTGAAATGAATCATATTCCACTTTCCAACGAGAAAACATAAATGCTGTGCCTAGGCAAACATGCCCGAAATCCTTCATATCATTTGGGCGGCTCGACACTTAAAGTGGTATCAGAAGTCCGTGACCTGGGATTTCATTATGATAGAACTCTTAACTTTTCTAATCGTTATAAGTATTAGTTTCAAAAGCCCTTCGTCGGAGTTTCAATGTTTTCAAGGTGCTTCGCACTAATGACTCGCAAACTCTGCTAAGGGCTTTCAAGGTCTACTTCCGTCCCTTCTATTGGAATGTGGATCTACTGTCTTCACACCCTATAAGAAAAAAGATGTTTATGCTTCGGAAGGAGTTCAAAATAGCTTCACTGGTAAACTTATGATGCGAAGTCATCGTTTAAATTATAATGAAATACCTAGTGGAAGTAAGCGTAATAATATACATGGTCTAAAGTCTCTCGAGTGGAGAAGAAAGAAATTTGATATACTTATGGCATATAAAATTTTAAATGGCTTAACCACCATGGATATTTCGGAGTTCTTCACAATCGTGTCTTCTAACACGCGACGCTCCTCCGCTAAGATTTCAACCATGCCAGCAAGAATCAAATTAAAGCGCAGTTTTTCAGTAACAGGATTAGGTCTAGCTTCAATTTGATTTTACGTCGTAATCTCATCCCTCCGAATTATTGTACTTTCAAAAATCCATTGACAAGTTGATTTCACTTAGTTGAGTTCATTATAAGATCTTATTGTTTTTTCGTTTCCTTTTCCATGGTCATGTTATTTTCCTCACTTCACATGTTTACAACATGTCCGTTGAATAAAAATAAATAAAATAAATCTTTCCTCACCAAAAAAATTACGTGATAGAAGACAAACAGAAAATATGATTTGATTAAATTTTTTTGGAAAATAAAAGTGTAAAGGTTGTTGGTTGGTCGAGCTTTCTCGCTGAAGAATCATTTGCTCAATCTGCAAACCGAAAATCTCTTATGACTTTCTGATCAATGAACTGAAGAAGATGTTCATACAAGGATTCTTCGTTACCTTGAGCCTGTCTAGCAGGATTATAACCATAGAATCCAGAACTCATATTTAAAGGTAGCCAAAATACTCACAATGATGTTGCTCTCGAAAATTTGTTGCGCTGGATGTGTTTTCGTTAGTAGCACCGGATTTCGTGCTCTGAAGATGTCAAAGTGTTGTGAATGCCCTCTATCCAAGCTTTGACCTCGCTCAACTTTCCTGAAATGGCGGAAATAACCCTGTTCCCTGATATGCTTCCGAGATACACCTCGTCATGAGAGCTGTGTCTCTTCTGATTCGTTGAGGAAAATCTAAATTTTCAACATGTGTTTACCCGTAATAACGATGGCCTAAAGCTGAATGATCACGTAAAGATTTAAGAAGACAAATAAGGTTCTCAAACACCGCTCGAATAGTTCTGCACAAAGGAATTCCAATAGTCCTTTCCTTCACTGCTTCAATAGGAAACCAAAAGTATGTGGGATTCTGTGGAAATCAAGGGAATCGTATTCGTTTCTTTCCAAATTGACAAGTGTTTTGGATAAGAATTCTCGGTTAGAGATAAATACGATACACGGGTAACGGATTTGAGCTGGCTGTTGCTTATCACTCGTCCATCTGTTATTTCACCAGAAACGTTGCTTAGTACGCAGACTCCATCTTGCGCTAGATTCGCTGTCTAAGAGAACGATGATTCCCAAAAAAGCAGCCTATTGGATTCTTTGAAACAAGCCTTCCTTTGTATTCCGAGCGTTTCATATTATAAGTTCGATCGTAGTAAGTTTAATTCATCTACCACTTCAGTGCGGAACATGTTTTCACCTCCGGAACTCGATTTTCGTGCAAAAAGCGAAATATTGGTTTTGCATTAGACGGACTGAGCAGTCAACAGATTGCTAAGCAACTCGGCAGAAGCCACTGTGCTGCCTGCTTTTACCTCAGAGATCCTGAGACCTATGACACCGGTAGAACCAATTAACGAAGACGAAATCGATGTGCAAGAGATGGACGGCAAAATTTGTGTTAGCAAACCTCCAACCATGGCCGCAGCGTCGACTCCAAGCACTCTTGAGGCTACTTGCCGAATAGTCCATCAAAACTCGAGGACTAGAGGGCAACAACAATAATATGGAACAAGTTATAAAGAGCACTACGCCTGCAGAGCGGTCACAATTCGATCGGCCTTGCATTCACCTGACGAAATTATTCGATGGATTGGAAGCAGGTGCTGTTGCTGAATTAATGGTGCCTTTCATGTTGCAGGGTGACTTCGTAACCTCAGCCGATCTTTATCGGAGAACTTCAAGTTGAATAGGCCTGCTCGCTGTTAATGCTACTGGTAGGATTTGAGAAAAGAACTATCGCAGCATGACCGGTACTACTCCGGCTAAGGTTCGCTCGGCTCATTAGGCTATTCTTGAAGCGAAAAGTTGTAGTAGCAGTCGAGTGAACTCGCGAGAGTCTCAAGAAAATCTTAGACTTCTTTACTGCCATACATTCAACAAAGACGACAGCAGAAGATAATCCTCCAGTAAGATAATACAGCGTCCACGCTAGCGGATCAACCTGGACATGGTTCCAGCAGCGCAAGATTGGTGTAGTGGAGTCGTGTAGTCCTGGTTTAAATTCGGCAGAAAATTGATAGGATGTGAAAGATACAATCATACATACATGGAAGAGCGTCGACTCTGTAAACTTTAAAGACCTGGCAGCATACCACATCCACTAGTGGAGCTGACTTCGAAACAAGAGGCTTCGAATGATCACGGTATCACGGTGACTGAGATTACGTTCGGCTTATAGCATGAAATGGGCCAAGATTGGAAAGATTCTTGTACGAAGAAACCTCAATGGCATACTCCCTTGAAAACACATGTGTCGTTGTTTTTTTTTTGTAGATCGAATCTTAATGTGTATGCTGCAAATTCAAGCCATTACTTCAAATAATGTTTCTGGTAAAATGAAGGGTTTATATAGCAATGAAACGCGCCGTACATGACATGCACGATTTGGCGTGTGTCTCAAGATAACCTACATATTAGTTTACAGCTTAAACATAATTACATACTTCCCTTTTGAAGTTCACTCGCTCAAGAATGAAAGACCGTTTTTTTTCTTAGAATTTTAATTTATAAAAACTTGCATAATAATTTAGATGCTCTGTACCTTGGTCGAGTTCTAATAAACTGGCTCCTGTCCACTGATTGCCGTCCCTTCTGCGTTGATTGCCTATGATTCCTGTCAGAATCCACGGTGTTGAGTGGCGCGTTATTGCTATGCTGATTTAGTTTGCGCTTCTGATTTCTTGCCATGATTAGACCCTTTAGTCCGAGTACACCCGAAGACTTTGTACGATTTTCATCGGGCAATCTATCAACTGTAGTTTTTTTCTTCTCTGATGTTTGAGGTTTTGTGGCGATTTCTATTTTCGAATTTAACGACGAGAAGGACGAAAGAGAGTTCAGTGATGGCATTGCAAGCAGTGGTGGTAGCGTATCGTTGTGATTCGACTCTTCGGGGTTGACTACCGGAACTGACAGTGTAACGAGCGGGGAACTCGTAGAAGAGATGAAACGGTCATTTGAAGAGCCTCCTTCGGCACTCTCCGCTTCCGCAGTGTCCACCGAAATCCGTTGCGTCTCTGTAAAAGGCAAATTATTTGGTAATATTGGTAATTTTCGTTTCAGAAACTCAAAATACTCGAAAGACTTTGTCATAATGACGTTCCGGAGTAAAGACTGAGACGACTGCCCTCACAATATATATTGTAACATTTTTTTGACAAGTGAAGTTAAGTCACTCGTTGTCATCTTGGAGCCAAGACAGAGACGAGATACACGATCAGAAAAGGAATTTCGTAAACTTGGAGAAGCCTAGTTTTCGAAAATTATTCAATCTTGTTCATGGCATACAATTTTCATGATGGCACACCGAAGACCTGATAGGTGATATATTTGCTGTACTGATCTAATGATTTTGTGCTCTTCCTTAATTCTGGAACCTTCTACTCTGAAGAACTGTTGGATTTAACTTTTCTGGTCATGCTCTCAAAATCGAGTTTTCGAGGGGAAAGATCGAACTTTTCATAGTTTCGTGAGGACTTTGATTGCAGAATCCCGATTCCCGATACTGAAGGCAACTAGCCAGCGGGAAGCCTATGGATTCGACTGCTCGTCAGATGTACATGTATTTGGTACAAAAGCTTCATGCTAACAGTGTCACTATCAGGCGAGTGTAATCGCTCGAAATGTCTTTGTCATCCTCAGAAAGATTCATTTGATTTCATTCATGAAAAAAGCATTTGTAGTCCTATAATTACTAAGTAGACCGGAACGCCTGCTGCTACGGAAAAGAGAAGATTAATGACAAATATCTACAGCTGATTTCCTCGATCACGATTTTTAAGTAAATCCTTTTCATTTCCTAGTTTCTCCTGTTTTCATGAATACAAGCAACCGAGAAAGATTACTCTCATCCTTCTTTGTTGCTTTTCGAATGGTAGCACTGAACAACTTGATACCTTTGATTTTTGCTGTCTCGCTGACGATGGCCGGAGAAGGGACCGAACCATCGATAGAATCCACCTGCTGTTTGGCATTCGCAAAATTGCTTTGTCCTGACTCAGGCTTTGCGGATGCTGAACTGTTTGGAACAAATACTGTAGATGGTGGGTGTGATACCTTAGCATTCTCCACGCCCGATGGCTCATCAGGCGCTTGAGGTGACATCGTGTCATTGCTGTCAACAAATAATAATTCTTCTTGGAGCTCACGCGTCGACGGTGGTGCTAACCCACTATTCGCCGCCTCCTCCGACAGTTCTTCTTCAGTTCCTTCCGCTAATTGTTCTGACTGGGCTACTTGATGGTTCGCTGTAAAAGTACTCGGCGTAAAAGCAGGGGATGGTTCTGAAGCGACAACTGGTACAGCTTTCTCGGCAATAGACCCTGGTTCTATGTTGGTGTTTCCGGAATTGATATGCATTGTCTCCGTCTCATTAGTTTTTTTGAATCCCTTCAGCTGTGTTTTCTGATCTTTCAAAACGCCTTCGTCACTAACAGGTACTTTCTCCACCATTTTCTTGTCAGTCGAACCTGACGAAGTGATGGCTCGTTTTGCGAATTCATCTGTTGGCTCCATTCTCGGAGGTACTATTGGATCGGTATCGAAGAACAGTCCGACTGGAACGATGTTCCGCCCACTCTGAAAAAAGACAGAATATTTCTGCTTTGTTTTATCGGTTTTGCTCTACAGCGTAGCTTATGCTCGTCCCTATCTAGTTAACTATGTGAATAGAATAGCAAAGAAGTACATGTGTGAGCATTTAGAGTGGTAAAAGGGTTGATTGTAGATCGTTCAGATAGTTCAGGTTAATCCTCTCCGGGTGCTGTTTTGTTATGTGCGATATTGACAGAATACCTCGATCTGATGTCGCCAATGCATAATTCAATACAATACATAAGATTATAACCGCAATTCCCCTAAAAAGCCCTTGTAGTACCTCCGTTATTGATAGTTCGCTAAATATTAGATGTTGAGGGTAGACTATTTTATTTTATCAGAAGGGAAGACAACACGGAAGCTAGTAAATTCAAAAGTGGCTTTTTCCGTAATGAAATATCAGGAGCTGTGGGAGCGATTAGCTGTGATTTCTTCTAGGTGGAGTATGCATCTCTTTTCCCTTTTCAGGAATATTGGGACGCAGCGTTCCATGAATGACAAAGGTGAACCAGTAACCCCTTAATCCTTTCAAGAGAATTTGTAAAAATGATCCAACCTTGAACATGATTTGCTGGTACTTTCTGTAGCCATTTTCTCTTATCTGCTTCCGCTTGGCAGCTCTCTGAAATAATTTTCTCGGCTTGAAAAATTGGATTTTGTGTTAGGCAAGATTTTACTTACGAAAATATTGTTTTTGTAATATATTCAACAATAACTGTTATATCTTGTACTATTCGACTTAATGAGTTTTCCTAGTGGAACTTTATTTAATCGACAATTCGGAAATATGGTCGTCTTACTCCTGCAAAGCTACTTCGAGGTCCTTGACGACTACTGAAAATGAGTACCTTTTTCGTAAAGCTGTAGGATATGTTGTGCAACTGCTCAGATCGAACTTTTTGATAATGCCTATTAGTTTAGAGTCAATATTTCTCAATTTCTAATTCTAATTCGTTAATTTCTATCAATTAGGGCTGGGTCTCTTGTACAAATTAGTAGCGTATCCTATATCACCTGTATCACCTGTCGTCCCCTTGATCGTCGATTTCCTCGAGCGGGCGCTAGTAACGTCTCCATTCGTCCCTGTCACGAGCCAGTGTGGTCCAATGAGTCGCTCCAGGGACACGAGAATCAACAATTCGTTCAGAGCTTTCGTGAAAAAGTCTGACCATCTCGTTGGCGGCCGTCCTGGAATTCGTTTGATGTTCCGAGGGATCCAGTCAGTAACCGCCCTGGTCCAACGGTCATCACTGTATCGCATAACGTGTCCGGCCCATGTGATCTTCGATTTCTTGGCGTAGTCAACGGCATCCCTGATCCTCGTTCGTTGACGGAGCTCGGAACTCCGGATTCCCTTCTGCACTTGCGTGTACAGGGAAATTTCGTGCATCATCCTTTCTAAAACGCGTCGAGCAACGCTGACAGCATGTTCATCCTGCTTTCATAGAGTCCAAGTTTCTGAGGCGTACATCAAAGCAGGAAGAACAGCAGTGTCGAAAAGGTGAGCGCGGAGCCGTATGTTCTTTGTCTTTTTCACTACTTCCTCAATATTCTTGAATGCTCCCTACGGGGCGCGTTTCCTTCCGCAAAGCTCCGGAGCCAGGTCGTTCATCATGTTGACTTCCCGACCTAGATATACATAGCTAGGGCATTCGGGGATATTCTTTCCGTTTAGCGTGAAAGTAGCATTAGGCACCAATCCATTTTTCATGAACATCGTCTTCGTTAAGTTCAGTCTCAATCCGATCTTTCCACGAGCATTGTCTAACTCAGCCAGCATTCGTTCCGACTGCTCAATGCTCGATGTTATGAGCACGATGTGCCTGCAAAGAGGAGGTGATGTAGATAGCGGCCGTCGATCTTCACTCCCAAGTCTTCCCACTCCAAGTGACGCATGATATTCTCGAGAG